AAATTGAACCTATTTTTCTTACTTATAATCTAGCTGCTTGGGTTTTCTGCCCTGACTATCTCACTGCCAAGCAAAATATAGCAAGCATGAGAGTCACTAATGACTGTGCTGAGTGTGCTGTTAAGTTAGCAACAGACTTCAATAATGTGCTAACACTTGATGAAGCTGAACAGCAGTTAATATTTCAGATTGTATATATATCACAGAAAGCTCATGATCAATCCTTTAAAGAAAAACTTTAAAGCAGAATAGCAAGTGATTGTTCATTGCTGTTGTAAAAACTTTGATAACACATTGTATAACACACTTATTAAGTATGCTGTAACATTTATATTCAATGAAACTTATGTAATAAGAATGTTTACTGTTGTCTCACCATTTATTTTACAATTTTGAATCTCTTGAGCATTCAATAGAACACATTGTTAAAGCTTACAATTTTTAACTTATTTTCCTGACCAAAAACCATATCAAATTAGAGGGTAACCCAATTAAAATTCAAAAATTAAATTATTTATATACAAATTTGAAATGGTCTAATATATATATATATATATATATATATATATATATATATATATATATATATATATATATATATATATATATATATATATATATATATATATATATATATATATATATATATATATATATATATATATACATATATATATATATATGTATATATATACTTTTTATTATTTATTCATCTCCCCAAAACCATGAAGGCCACTGCAGTTGACGCGGCTACTTTTAGTTGTGGTTACGACCCTCTATCAACTCAATAACTTCGAAACACGAACCGTAATGATAAAGGTTGCTGCGCGGAGATGCAAGTTGAACACGGTACTACCAAGGACGTAGTAGGGATCAAACTTGGAACTTCTTGCTTATGAGCCGAGCCCTCGACCACTTCATCACTACCGCTTTTTTTTAAAGCAGCCTAAGCATGTTCTATTAATTTGTAAGTCAAGTAATTTTTTTTTAATTGATCAGCGATTATCCTGTTCATACTTTAAAAATCCATACAATTTTTTCTAAAAATATCCAGATAATATTTATACTTTCAAAAAATTTCTCACATAAAATTACATTTTGTTTAACTTAGAATATCTCATTGGAAACTCATTAATTGTTAATGCAAATTGTTATATACTATTTAATTTATAATAACATTAAGATTATGCACATAATATTAATATTTTTAGTTATTACTGGAAAAAGCTTGTTTTTTAAATGTTTTTTTTTATTTTTTTAAATTAGTAAAATTATTAAAATAGTGCTCTGGATGCTTCAATGAAAAGTTTATGAGGTGCAGTTGGCAAGAATGCGACGTCTAATCCTTTATAGGATTTTTTTTATTTTTATGTAAACTTTCTTTTTTTTTAAATTTATGTATCGATTTTTTATTTTTTCCAACTACTATTATTGTTTATCAAATTTGTTATAAAAAAGTGCGTTTGTGGAGTGCACAAAGGTCAACTGACTTAAATAGGGATTAGCGCATGGAATGGTTAATGTTTTGGCAGACATTCTTTTATATAAAAGAAATGAATTTCAATTTTTATTTAATAATAGTTTATAAAATAATATATTTTATGTAAACTACTTATTTAGTTAAATTAAACTAGATTCTTAGGTGAATTCAAGTTAATCAAGTTATCAAGTTAATTAAAAATAATCATGAGCGTGTACATAAGTAAAAATTTGTTTTACACGCATACCAATAATGCCTAACCTAAAGTAAGAGTAAAATAGTTGATGAAAAACACTTTTACTTTTTTAACAATTTAATGTTTGTATTTGCAGTAAATTATAAGAATATTTAGAATAAATAAAATTTTATAGAAACATATAAACATATAGAAAAATTAAAAAAAAAATAGTTTAAAGAAAAAAAAAAAAAAAAAATATATATATATATATATATATATATATATATATATATATATATATATATATATAATATATATATATATATATATATATATATATATATATATATATATAGAATGGTTAAAACCTGGTTTAAACAAACAATTTAACCATGTCCAAATGATACATTATGTATTATTAGTGTCAAAATCACCTATAATTTTAAATTTTATTTCAACTGAAGATGACTTGTGATAGTGGAAACATGTATTGTTTAAAATTATTAAAAAGGTTTTATTAATTAAAAAGTTTGTTTTGTTTTTTAATATATATATATATATATATATATATATATATATATATATATATATATATATATATATATATATATATATATATATATATATATATATATATATATATATATATATATATATATATATATATATATATGTTTTTACCTGGACATTCCATTACTTCTGAATTATTACCAAAACATATCTCCTCAGAATTTAAAACTCTACATTTCCTTGATCTGTTCATAAATTTATTTAACTCGTTACATCCAGTCCAACTATTCCATTTTTCCCATAAAACTGAGAAAAAAAATTATTAACTACTTGATAAACTGCATTAGAAATTAGAAACTAAACATGTAGTACAGATAAGGGTTTTATTGGGATTGACACATTGATTCAAGTTAGTGAACATGGGCAAATAATTTTTGTTTGATTTAAAAATAAAAAGCTAGGTTTTTATTTTTACATCAAACAAAAAATGGTACATTAAAATCAGATAGTTGTTTAAAACTACCATACCTAATACATTTCGAACCTAGATTTTGAAAGTGATCTGTCAGCATTTAAATAATTAAAAATAGATTAAACAGGCCCAGACTTCAGAATATTAGTATTCAAAATAAATAAGAAAAAGTACATGGTTGAAATTTTTAAATGCTTTTGATATGCCAGTAATAAATAAAAATGTTTTAGCATAACTCTACCGTTTAAATTGTAAAAACAATTTTTAGAGTTTGAGTAAAGTTGGCTCTGATAACTCAAATACTAAAAAATTTATTATTATTTTTTTGTTGAAAAATTTCCAGTTAATTTAAACGTTACTTGCGAGTTTAAATGTAAAAAATGCATTGATTTTAAATAAAGCTATAAGTTTTAAGAAGAAATTTGTTTGTTAGTTTTTATATATTATGTTATTTTTGAATGTAAAAGTTTCAGTCGCAAAGAACATTTACTAAAAAAGCAAATTAAGCAAAGAAAGTAATAAAATATTGACCTTTATTCGGAAAGAAACACATACTGATGCAATTTAGTCCTTGTGTAATAAGACTAGCTAGTTAAACTAAATATTTTTACGCCGATAAAAAGTTTTATAACTTCGACCAGGGGTCAATATTATAAAACTTTTTATCGGCGTCAAATGCTAGCGGCTGTAAATTTTATCGGCGTAAGTGATTTGTTTCAATGTTATAAAACTTCTTTAAAAATTACCGACGATAAATTTCTACAGCCGATACGTTTACAGCCGATAAATGTTCCGGAGGAGCAATCTACGAAAGTTTTTGTTGAAGATCCAAAGATATGAGTATTTAGTTGTAGAAACCTGTGATTCAGAACTTTTCAAAGTACTTACTGTTGTTAATATTGTTATATATTTTTTTTATATTACTGTTTTCATTATATTGATGTTGTTGTTACTATTGTTATTATTATTGTTGTCGTTATTTTTGCTGTTATTATTGTTATTATTAAAATTAATGTAATATGGTCTACACTTTTTAAATCTTTACTATTACTTTTAACCGCTATTATTACAACTATTATTTTTACTTACTCATACTTGTATTATAATTTTTATTAGCATCATTTTATTATTAATGAATTTTACAGGTGTTTACTTCATATTAGTATTTGTTACTATTTGTAAATAACCTTGATCTAACAGCTTTATTTAGAATATATTTGATTTGATTTAATTTGATCACTGAAAATTTTTAAAGTTAGTGAAAAACAATGAATCAAAAGCAACGATATATATATATTATATATACATATATATATACATATATATATATATATATATATATATATATATATATATATATATATATATATATATATATATATATATATATATATATATATATATATATATATATATATATATATATATATATATATATATATATATATATATAAATTATGCTAGCGTATTCTACAAATAGATTTAATCATAAGATAGAATTAATCATAATTACTAAAATAAGGCAGGAGCTGGATGAGAGCATGTGTATAGAAAATAAATTTGTAATGAGCAATTTTAAACCATCTCAGGAAACTGAGGTTAAAATTAAGAATGATGATCAGTTAGTAAAAAAAATCTTTTCTGTACTACAAGTAAACAAAAAAACAAAGCTAAAATCATTTAGATTAAAGTCGGTGACAGAAAGAAAGACAATAAAAATGACCTTAGTTAACGTGCCAATGCACGTTAACTGAAAGACAACGAAAAATTTAAAGATGTCTATTTTAAGCATCAAAAAAGTAGTATTCACCAAGCAATCAAGAAGGGAAAGAAACAAAGAAGAGATGAACTAAATGCAAACATGAAATATCAAGGTAACATGGGTAGGTGTTGTGATGTTAGCATCGGAAAAAAGTCTTTTTATGTCGCAAGAAATTGACTAATGTAAAATTTTTCTTTTTTATTTGAATTAAAAATAAACATTTTACCAAAACATTCCTTTACTTCAGAGCCATTACCATAACAACCATACATAGAACTTGAACTATTGCACTCTCTTGTTCTAATTATAAATCCATGTGTAACATTACAACTGGTCCATTTGCTCCATTGTGACCAAAAAACTAAAGTATGATATGAGTTTTAAAAGCTCTAAAATTTGTTTTCAAAATGGTTAAATATTTAATGAAAAGAAAAATTTATTGTTTTACTAAATAGTTTTTTACCAAAGTATTCTTTTTCTTCTAACTTATTTTCTTCACACTCATCAATAGCAGTAGAAGAGTTACATTCTCTTGTCCTGTTTGTAAATTCATGAGAAGCATTACAACGTGTCCAGTTGCTCCATTGGGTCCAGGAAGCTTTAAAAAGAAATTAGTTTTATTTGATGATTGAATGAATGACTGTGAATGTAGAGGAATTAGCATAAGAAAAGGGTTTTAAGTCAGAAAAAAAACTTATTCAGATTTCAAATAAAAAATAAATTTAATATAAAACAAGAAAAAAATATATGATTTAAAAAAAAACTCTTTCATAACTTTATCAAATACTGATAAATATTATGTAAATAAGTTTATAATATATATTAAATACAATGTTATAAAAAACTATGAAAAAACAAAAACAATAAATAAGAATAAAGTACATTTTAAACACATCCTTTAAATTCAATATTTAAAAATACCATTTTTGATTTAATAAAAAAAAATATGATTAATTATTCATTGATAATAAAAACATAAAAAAAAGACAAACAAAATCTTAAATGCGGTAATTACAATAAGTATTTTTCAAATAAAATTTGTATTACTACTTAATATTTTTCCAAACAGGATCAAGATGTTCTGCCATAGAAAAAATTGGAATTGCTTGTTCTTGATCACAACCTAGCGCTTCTTTAAAAAATCAATAAAGTTTGATTCTTCTCCTTGTAAAATATTTTTCTCTACACTTTTATCTGCTGTAAAGCCATAGAGGCTTAACCTTCTAAGATAGCAAGTTGTGCGTTTTTTTTCCTTTTGAATAATTTTCTTTATTTTGGCTTTTAGTTTTTTGAACTTTATTTTATTTCGGATCAACTATTTTTTAACTATTAAGCAAAGTTAATGATGCAAAATAAATGTTGCGCTTTTTGCACACTCTACTTTGAAGGATTGTTTTGATACTTGGACAGTGTTCGTTAAACTAGATATTTTTTGGAGCAAGATGTAGAGATTAGAAAAGAGATGTATAGCGATAAGTCTTGTCAACTGAAATTTGTGACTCAATAAAAAGGTAATAACAATAAGGAATAAAAGATGGAAGAAACCTTTCTTTAAAAATTTAAAAATATTTTCCGCATGGCACAGTACAGCATGTGATGTCTGAACATTTTGAAATCTGCCACATATATTGACTAAATTACATGAACGGCAATTCATTCGTGACATTTTTTAATTACTGCTTTGGTATCGATTTCTGAGTTTAGCGTCTCAATAAAGTCTGAGTAGGTTTCAAAGTTATCAATCACTGCGTTGGTGAAGACTTCAGCTAATGTTTCGCCGGCATAGTTAAAATTTTCTCTTTCCTACTTTAAGTTAGTTGTCTTTCCAGAAGAGTCCAAATGTGATTCATAAGTTTCAAGAAGCAAAATTAGTCCTGAAAGTTCGCGTGAAAATGAAGCCATTCTTCGTTTAACTGGATTGAATGCACTTCTGTGTGGTGTATTTGTGGCAATTATTAAAGAATCCAAAGAAAAAGTGATGAAGTTGTGAATGGCCATTTTTAACGTTTTTTGATATCTGGGGTTTTCCTCTGGTCCTCAGTCAGTAAATATTAAATTACCTTTGTATTTCCATTTAAATCCAACATATAACTCTAAATAGCGGTAGTTTATATAATTTTGCAAAATCTTTTGAGTAAGAATTAGCAGTGGACTTCGAATTTTTTGCTGATCTTATTGAAATATAGATAGAACCTGAGTAGCGCACAAATTTTTTCTTGCCAAATTCTTCTTTTTTAATTTTTAGCCCAGCAGAGACTCATGGAATAAGTTTATGGCATGGAGTAATGGCAAAATCGTGATTAGGTAGTTTTACTTTATATTCCAAATGCATGATCAAGTAGCTTTCAAAGTTACTGCTGGGAGACCAACTGGTACTTTTGTTTTGTCAATAAAGCAACTTCTGCTGGTCTCAAGAATGAAGCCAATTCCTTTAAGTTCTCAATCGAAGCAAAACAAAATTTCGTATCTGAATGATTTTTAAAAAGATCTCTTCCTGGTTTAATGAGTCTTACAGGAACAGAAGTGACATGCTCCTTCCTATTTATTGTGTGAGAATTTTTTAGTGCAAGATGATAATAGACTATTGATCTGTCTATTATAAACTCTTTCTTTTGCAAAACTTCTGTTAACTCATCAGAAGATTTAACTATTCTTAAAGTCTCGCATCTTCGTTTGTCAGCTGCGGCAGCGCCGTGAGTGGCATGAGTGGCATCTGAATAATTGTTGATAGTAATTCCGGTTGACTTCCAATATCAGAAGCACGTTCAACCTTTTCATAAATTCTTAATTTAGAGGCAATCTCTGGATAATCTTTTAAGGTCTCAGCCAATACTTTTTCTTCTTTTCTCGGGATTTTTTCTGTCGTTAACGACTATTCTTAAGTGATTTTAATAGTTTTTGATACTTATTTTTTCTTTTTCGAAATCTTTCTTTTTTGAGTTATCACATTGAGAGAGCATCCCGCATTTTTTTCGAAACAAAAGCGTATTAAGTTCTTTTTTTTTTTTTTTTTTTTTTTTTTTTTTTTAAGTTTACATTTGTTGTCGTAGTAAATAAATTACTTTCACAAACACAAACAAGGTTTCTGAAAGAAGATCGTACTGATCTTATCATCAGAACCTTTTACAAACGTGTGTATATAAACTACATCAAAACATATTCAACAAATAAAACGTAATAAACAATAAAAGTTCTAAAGAAAATATAAAGTTAAAAAAATCTGACTACATCATCCATTAAGATAATTAAATTTTTCAGTTTATATTTAAAAATGGGAAAAGTAAAATGCATGTTAAAATTGGACAAAACAATTTTATTCCAAAGATAAGGTGCACGATATGCAATGCAAAACTGATTAAAACTGGTTCGACAAAAGGGCTCATATATAAAATTATTGTTTCTAAGTGTATATTTATTTATTGGCTTCAAACAAAAGAGATCTTTGAAAATGGGTAAAGATATGTCATTTTTCCACATATACATAAAGCACAAAACATTAAAAACATTAAGCTCATAAATATTGAGAACTTTCATTTCAATAAAAAAGGGTTTGGAGTGAGTGTATCGATCCGCAAAATTTATTAAACGGATCGCATGTTTCTGACGGCGATAAAGGCATTTTAGCTTACTTTTTTCAGTGCTTCCCCATGCAACATTAGCATAATTTAAATAACTATGAATTAATGAGTAGTAAAGTTGAGTTAGACTTTTTTTACATAAATATGTTCTGGTTTTATATAGAATACCAATATTTTTAGAAATTTTTGTACCAATATAGTCTATATGCTTTTTCCATGTTATGTTTTCATCAAGAAAAACACCTAGAAATTTTGTTACATTATGTCTTTTTATTTCAACATCATCAATAAAAATTTTAGGCAAACTTTGGGGTAAATAAGCTTTTTTAGAGACTGGGTGGAAAAGAACCCAATTTGTTTTTTTAATATTAAGAGTTAGTTTGTTGCATTTAAACCATTTGGATATACTTTTAAGTTCATTATTCATAGTATAAAAGAGTTTGCAAATGTCATTATTGGAAAAGAATAAGTTAGTATCATCAGCAAACATGATACTCATTAAATTTGAGGCTTTATTTAGATCATTTATATAAATCAATAACAAAAGTGGTCCCAAAATGGAACCTTGTGGAACGCCACATGAAATATTTAAAAATTTATTTGGATGATCATTATTGCTGAAAACAAATTGTTTACGGTTGGATAGATAACTTTTGAACCATTTTATAACTTTGCAATCTATTCTATAATATTTTAGCTTTTGTAGTAAAATTTCGTGATCGACAGTATCGAATGCTTTCGAAAGGTCGATGAAAACACCTAATGTATATTTACAATTTTCAAAAGAATTAGAGATTTCACGAACAAATTGGATAACTGCATGTTCTGTGGAATTATTTTTTTTAAAGCCGAATTGATAGTTGTATAAAAAATTATTAGAATGAAGATAATTGTATAATCTATTGTACATAATACGTTCTAGTATTTTTGAAAATGTGGAGAGGACAGAGATAGGGCGATAATTACTGATAATTGTTTGATCACCTTCTTTTAAAATTGGAGTAACTTTAGCAATTTTTAGTTGTTCTGGAAAAACTCTATGGCATATAGATGCTCCATATACTTTAAATAGGATATCTTTTAGGTATTCAAAACATTCTATGACTATATTACCGTTTATATCATCTGCTCCGGTTGATTTATTTTTTTTAAGAGTTTTGAAAGCTTTTTCAAACTCTTGTAAAGATAGTTCAGAAGATAATTCGTTGGAACTAGTGCAGTTATCCATTTGGACTAAAAAATCTCTAAATGTAGCATTTGTATAAGGAATTTTTTTTGCTAGTTTGGGACCGATGTCAACAAAGAATTTATTAAATTCATGAGCTATAGCTCTTGATTCGCATATATGTTTGTTATCAACTACAATCGTTTGGGGGAGGGAACCTGAGCATTTTTTTTGTCTACCACTAATTTCATTCATTATTTGCCGAGTGCGTTTTGAGTTATTTTAAATTTATCTATGAGTCTTGAGTAGTAATTTTTTTTCAAGTTTTTACGAACTTTTTCAAATAGGTATTTGTATTCTTTATATATTTTTTCATTTGCAGATGATTTTGTTTTAAGATATTTTATATAAAGCTTCTGTTTTATTTTGGATGATTTTTTAAATCCCCTGGTCACCCATGGGTTGTTTATATTTTTTGGATTTAGAGTTTTTACAATGATAGGGAAATTAGCGTCATACACGGAATAAAATGTTTCAAAAAATTTATTGTAAGTTTTGTCTGCATTATCATTAAAGTTAATATGCTTCCACTGTAGGAGTGATAATTGGCTTTTAAATTGTTTTATATTGGTTTCGTTAAAAGTGCGTATTTTATTTTTATTTGATTTGGTTATTTTTTCAGAGTTTGATTTAAGCAACAAAAATAATGGAAAATGGTCAGATATATCCGATTTTAGGATGGTCCGGTTTGGATATCATTATCGGATATATCTGTTGTAATTATATTATCAATCAAAGACGCTGAGTTTTTTGTTTCTCTTGTTGGACGATTAATCAACGGGATTGCTCCAGTTT